TGAAGCGAACACATTACAGCCTAGGTAATGAGTAATTAGTCAGTAACTAGTCAATTAGTAATGGGATGTTTGTCGTTTTTAAAAACGAAAAATAAGGAAATAAAGAAAATAATGAAAACTCAATTTAACATTGCAGTTTGATATTAGACGTTTAAAACCTGGATTTGAAAAAAGAAAATAATGAAAACTCTTTAATTTAACATTGCAGTTTGATATTAGACATACTTTCGTCAGTTTTAAAGGTTAATTCTTGAAATAAGCACATGGATATAAATAATGGAATTTATTATTAATAAAAGAAAGGAATGTTTTTTTTTTTTTACCTCATCCAAACAGTTGACTCTGACATCTTCGCCGGCAAGCAGCTGGGCCGCTTCCTGTACATCACCTACGGAACACAAGAAACAGCGTAAATGTTGAGAATATTTTACTGCAGTCATGCAGTAATAAAATATACCTGATATAATGAAATGCTGCCAAGGAAGTCCAAAAGTAGAACAGTGTAAACAGACGTCAGCATGTGTGCAAAATTCAACGATCAAAAACATGTCCAAAGCTGAAAAGAAAATACACAGTTAAATGCAGTCAAACTGGTCGACTCACTCACCAGCAGCTACGACCTGCAGCAACCGTCGTTCAGATTCTGATAAATCTCCTTTCTGTGGTGCAGCCATTGTCTCCGATCCTTGTCCGCTGTCCGTAGAGTAGAGTGTTTGCTTGAATGAACTCTGATGTGCAGACTATAGGTGGTCCAACCACCCCGCCTCAAGCACAGATGAGCCATTCTGGAATCTTCCATAACACTAAACCTAGGGCCCCAAAATTTAAAGTGCGTTAAATACATCAGTGACAAATGAAAAATGAATTTAAAGTTTGTCTCAGTGCATTAAATACATCAGTGACAAATGAAAAATAGTTTTATTCTATTTGATGAAGCGTTCTGATCTAATTATTTTTATTTTATTTTACCAATTAAAGGAGCAATATTTTATTGTTATTGTTAACACTTGTTATATAAAACACTATTACTATGTAATACTGTATTTAAAACACAAAGCATACATTTGTAAAACAAAAAAATGATGATTATGTATAACAATTATTCATATAAATGTATATTTAAACTAATTAAGTCAAGTTTAATTTTTTTTTATTTGTTACCAGAAGAGAAAGTCAATGTTAGTAATATTAAGTAAAATGTATAATTGAGAGAGTGAAAAAAATAACTAAATTTCATTGGACATTTTCATTTTCAATTACTTAGTTGTATACTTACCTAAATTACTTTGTTATTATTATGATTATGTACACTTTGTTAAACTTCTACTGATAAATGTTAGTTCATCTGCATAGATCACAAATCACAGCCACAATGCAATTCAAATTATTCTTTTTGTCAGCACTTAATTTTGTAAAAAAAAAAAAGAAAGAAGAATGGCGACCTCTAGTGCAGAATTTTATATAATGCAACATTAGCACAACATTTTTATATAATTTTACATAATATTATTATTTTATTTTTATGGATCTAGAGAGACAGGACTTTTAACAATATTTTTTTCTACATTTCAAAGCTTAACAGATATCTTATTTTACATTTTTTAGGTTTGCGCTCTTTAACTATTTCAGAGGTCATTTGTGTTGGGGGTGTAGAACAGAAATGACCAAAAAATGCTTAGTTTTTTTAAATAGTCTTGTTTTTTCTAATTAAATTAAAAGCCCAACAAAAACATTCTTTCCCTGACTTTTCCAAGGAAATTCCTCTATTGTTTTCCTTTTTTGTCCACTGTTTAATTGCCTCTCTAGTCCAGGGGAACACTTTTTTTTATCTCCGAATACCAAACCTTTTCCTGTCTTATCTGAGCTGACTTCCTGTGTCAGGACGGCATTTACACAGATGATCAGGTTTGTTAAAATATTATGATTGCTGCAAGATAGACTTAAACATAATAGTTTAAATATACATATTTCAAACTTTTCCGATATAACAGATAAAATGAAATATTAGTTAATAAAAGAAAGAACATTGATGTACTTTGATGCAATGTGTATATATATATACATATATATACATATAGACATATATATGTATACACATACATATACATACATATACATATATATATGAGAGTCAATACAAAGAAGAAGACTTGACTAATGGTGTCAGGAACAAGAATTCAGTGTCAGGAAATAACTCAGGAAAAAAGCATTAGGAATTGTTTTGTATGCAATTTCGTTGATCAAGAATAAAAGAATAAACAACAAAGACTTGAAAAAAATGACTAGACATTGGTTTGGGTCACTGAGATGGTAACGTTGTTCTGACTGAGCAAATTAATTGAAGTTAAAGCGACGTTTAAAAAAAACCTTAGCTGCGCAAGAATGTGTAAAAGTGCATAAGTGATATGGTGACCCGCTAACATCTTCACCTTACATCCCGGAGCAATTTTTCTAACAAACGATAAATGAAGTGTGGCTTTTTACTGATTAAACGCAGTAAAGTGTGAACACACAGTTGACCGCAGCTCTGCTGATTGTGACTTCATTGTTTTCTTTACCGTCAGACATAATAACAGGAGGTTGTTCGGCCAATGAGCAGACAGGATGTTCTGAAGTCCTCACATTACCGTCACACTGACTCATATCCTCAACTGCTATCAGGTTAGCAGTGATAATGACAAAAACACTAGAAAAAAAAAACATATAATCAGCACATTTGACAACATATGTCAGAAATGCATTGAGTGAGCGGATATGTATAACTGTGTAATTAAACATGTGAATTACTGCTAAGTTGGGTATTTGTTTGTAAAGTAATCAGTGTGAATACTGACATTTAAAATAAAATAAGAATGAGCTATTTTGCACAATACAGTACTAAATGGCCACCAACACAAAAACTTATAACTAACCTATGTATAGGTGCATAGCTAAAATGCCGCTAAATTGCTACATGTCAGTATGTCCATTAAAGAATTAAAATAATTACTTCAAGCCTCCTAAGGACCAGGGAAGGTGAGCGACATGCTCAATGCTAACTATTACAAAATGCCATAATAATTAAACAAAACGTCATACTTCCCCTTTTGGTTCAGCTATAAAAACTTGCAATGTACATCCGGTCTGCTTTTATTTTGAAGGCGACTGTTCGACTTCCTGAGCTGCCCTTATCCATTATTCACACTTGCGCCTCTCGCGCCGCTCGTTCAGGACCGACCTGCTGCTCACCGACCACGTCTACCAGCAGGAAAGAGGAATTACTGATTCAGCACAGTTGCACTTCGCCCGTATTTAATTTGAGGATCGAACGACACACTCGACTGAAGACTATATTGCGTCAATTCTTCACCAAGATGGGCTGTAATGGATTCACCTGCTCGAAACACTCCCTTTGCGCACTCAACATCCTCTACATTGTGAGTATGACAACGGCTCCGTCCATATGGATGAAAGAAGCGACGACACAGCGGTGCACGGAGACAGAAAGAATCAATATACATACTCTGAGGACGAGAGACGGAAAGCGAAATAGAATAGAGCCCTGCTGTAAACACATATACATACTCTGAGGACGAGAGACGAAATAGAATAGAGCCCTGCTGTAAACGGAACATTCGGTGACTGAGGTCAGATATCGATATTATCAATTATTTACTGCGGTGTCGGAGTGAAACGTTCGCGAAACCCAGCAGAACTAAACCACGACGGCTAGTTTTGAGGAACTTTATTTCCTCCCGTCAACATTTTCTCTTCCTCTGCGTCTCTTATCGAACAAAAAAAGGGCCTGTATGTTCTGTCTGCTGGTGTTACTATGGAGAACACCTGCTTAATGATGCGTTCGTGACGTCATCGACAGTTCAAATAAAATGTCTTTACTCTGAAAACCGAGTTCCGAGTTCCTCCTTGGTGACGTGTATGTTATTTTTACTTTATAGAGCCTAAACACAAACCAGAAATGTTGACAAAATATGTTAAAAAAAACACATAATCGATGTTAATGACTAAAAATCCCCCCCGCCAATAATTCGGCAGAATCCCAGGGTAAAACATGGAAGTGGGATTATTATGTATCATGAACTGGGAATCTTGTGTTTTAAGAAGTCAGCGCCAGAACTTTTTCTTAAAAAACCTATTTTTGAACCGGTGCAGAGCTCCCCCTAGAGGGCCAATACTAATTTTACAGTCTGACTCTGACTCAGTCCGACTCTCCTGATGTTTTTATGTTCTAGATCAGGGGTGTCAAGCATAAGGCCCGGGGGCCAAAACCGGCCCGCTTGATGAATTTTGAAAATAAGAAAAATACACAATGTTCAGGATATGTTTTGTAAAATCATATTTCATTAAATAAATGAAAAAAATAAAAATATCTAATATTGTTTTTGCATGAAAAAAAGGGGAAAAAATATGGACTTATTGTTAGTCATAATACGGCTCCACTTGTTGCTAATTAGTTAGCCAAAATGAGCTTGACACCCCGGTTCTAGATTATGATGTTTTTTGTTTTTTTTTTTATATGTAAAGTTCCGAGTTACAGCGAAAATTGAGTTACGTCACACCATATGAACAGAAACTCCAAACTTCCAAATCCTGGAAGATTTTTTCCCGATTTGCGACTGCATGCAAAAGCTCAAACTACACAGTAGTTACTTTTCAAGAGACTGTTTAAATTAGCTGAAATACTTATCCGACCTATTTTACCTGCAGATGGTGAGCCTGTTGATGATTGGAATTGCAGCGTGGGGAAAGTGGTTTGGACTGGTCTCCAGCTTCCAGGTCGTGGGCGGTGTTATTGGTGTCGGAGTCTTCCTCTTCTTTGTGGCCATGGCTGGACTCATCGGGGCCATGAAGCATCACCAGGTCCTGCTCTTCTTTGTATCCTTTGTCCTATTTGGACAAAGTCCAAGATCAAAACAACAATCTTTAATGACTTGACATCACTTCCCCACTTTTTTTTAAATAAATGTCATTTAAAGTTTTCTTATTTGATGACGTTTTATAACAAATAGTCCTATGATAATATAAAACCCATTATGTGATAGGTTATCTAACGTTCACTGGGTTATAGGTCATGTCGTTTCTGGTGTTAAAGTCCAATAGGACGAGACACTTTGTCAAGCACCTGTGATAAGATAGTGTTTGGCTTAAGGTGTAGAAACAAAAATATAAACCAAAGAAAAACGGCCTAAAATGCTGATTCTCCGATTGAATGTCATCCAATTTTTAAAAACTTTTTAATCACAATTTCGAAGTAATGTCAACATCTATATAATTTAGTTCTTAGAATTAAATAATATCTACATTTTAAACGGATTTCTTCGAACTTTTCTTCCAGTGCGGTTACACTATAAGACGAGTCCTCGCGTTTGCAGTTAGCTACGGGCCACCTCCATTGTTAAATACTCCACTACTACTTTGAAAAAAACAGACTTTGTATGTCTAAGTAAACACCTCCTGTCAGGTGAATGAGGAATGATGTCAACGCCATACTTTTAAAAACACAGGCCTTGTTTTGTGTTTGAGTTCTTGGTAGACGGGGCAGGTTTGAGGGCTTTTAATTTCACCTAACCTGGGGCTGTTTCTAACATCGTTTTGTGACCTTTTTATGTACTGTATAACGTATGATACAACTATAATACACCTTTGCGTTCCTTTACAGTAGAGCTCAGTACATGACCATCCTGTCTATAGTCTTTATTGTACAGTTTTCTGTGTCCAGTGCCTGTCTGGCTATCACCAAAGAGCAACAGGTAAGGATTTTTTTTTTCATTTCTCCAGTTACCCAGGACAGGGATACACTCTACTTGTTTGATCAAATTTGTCTTGTGATATCGAATCATTCAGGTGTACGTAAGACACAATGTGATCACTGAATTTGTCATATTCATAACATTCAAGTTTGTTGTACCTGTACAATCAAGTAGCACCTGATTAACTTGCTGAACTGGAAAGCGCTAGAGCGAAGCTATTCAGGTCGAGCCAAATTTTTAAAACCAAAAAAAATGTTGCTGGTTAATAAGGAGTCGGTACAAAATATAGACATGTTAACATTTATATATATATAAGAGGAACATAAAACTGCACAGCAAACTGCTTACTGCTTCCAGACACGCCGGTGAAGTTTATATACATACACATACTGTATATATAAATATATATAATATAATAATATATAATATGTGTATATATGTATATATGAGACTGATTAGAGCACTATTAAAAATTGGTACTTAGGTCAAAAGACGTGTTGTTTTAAGAACTAAAATAATGGTTAAAGAACTAAAAAAAATAATATGCTGTTAAATATATTATATACTATACCAGGTGTGGGCAAACTTTTGACTCGCGGGCCACAATTGTCCTAAAATTGAACTAAAAGACATGTAAAAGTCATGCATAAAGGCTAAAATGCTTTTATCATTTTCTATGCCATCTACTGGAGAAATGTGGGTATTGCAAGGAAAAAGCAGAAGTAGAATGATAATATAAATAAATCATAAAATTTGGAAAAGTTTGGCGGGCCGGATTAGGCCCCCGGGCCTTAGTTTGCCCACGCCTGTATTATACTGTTAAGCCTCCTCATCCTGTGTTGCAGGACCACCTGCTGGAGGTGGGCTGGAACAACTCCGAGAGTACTCAGAGGGATGTGGAGAAGAGCATCAACTGCTGTGGCTTCAAACATGTGGACCCCAACGGCACATGTGCGGCTGTGAGTTAATGAAAGCTGAGCCTGGAGAGATTACTGTCACGGTCACATTTCAACGTTGTGAAAACAAGCCTGACCACTTGCCATTTGCCATTATTTAAAGAGCGATCCAGTTCAAAGAAACCAACACATGTTCTTTTGCAGGACTGTTTCCCCAATCACACCTGTTTGCCTTGTGCTGATAAGATCCAGGAACACACGGGAAAGGTTTTGCATTTGGTAGGAGTAGTGGCACTCTCTTTCAGTTTCACCGAGGTGAGTGTATTAAATACTCATTGCTTAGTCCTTTTCGTTTTTTTGTTTTTTTTTTCCCATCATATTGTTTGCGAGACTGTTAAAAAAAAAAAAAAAAATACAAATTTTTTAAAAAAGCAGAAGTAGAATGATAATATAAATAAATCATAAAATTAGGAAAAGTTTGGCAGGCCGGATTAGGCCCCCGGGCCTTAGTTTGCCCACGCCTGTATTATACTGTTAAGCCTCCTCATCCTGTGTTGCAGGACCACCTGCTGGAGGTGGGCTGGAACAACTCCGAGAGTACTCAGAGGGATGTGGAGAAGAGCATCAACTGCTGTGGCTTCAAACATGTGGACCCCAACGGCACATGTGCGGCTGTGAGTTAATGAAAGCTGAGCCTGGAGAGATTACTGTCACGGTCACATTTCAACGTTGTGAAAACAAGCCTGACCACTTGCCATTTGCCATTATTTAAAGAGCGATCCAGTTCAAAGAAACCAACACATGTTCTTTTGCAGGACTGTTTCCCCAATCACACCTGTTTGCCTTGTGCTGATAAGATCCAGGAACACACGGGAAAGGTTTTGCATTTGGTAGGAGTAGTGGCACTCTCTTTCAGTTTCACCGAGGTGAGTGTATTAAATACTCATTGCTTAGTCCTTTTCGTTTTTTTTGTTTTTTTTTTCCCATCATATTGTTTGCGAGACTGTTAAAAAAAAAAAAACTCCAATTCTTTATCTCATGCAACTCCCCGTTTGCCTTTCCCCAGATTCTCGGAGTGTGGCTCACATATCGGTACAGAAACCAGAAGGACCCAAGAGCCAATCCTGGTGCTTTCCTTTAAACTAGCACCGGTGGATGATATGCTTAACACTCTACGGACTTTCTCTTGACTTTCACACATGGGTCAAGGATTTTGAAAGCAAGATGTGCCATCTTGAGATTTCTAGCAGTTAGATAACTGTAAACTGGGAAATTATTACATTCTTAACTCGGGATGGCTCTATTCTTGGAGATTCTTGGTAATGATGATACGTTGCATTGGGTAACTCGTTCATTCACACTTCAAAAAATACAACAAAAAAAAAAAACCTGAAAGTATTTTAAATGTAATTAAAACACTTCACTCACTATGTGCAAACTGGACATTGCACATTTTAACCAAACATTTCTGCAAATGTTAAATGTGAAAAGTAAATAAAAAAAAGAAGCTCACATTTGTCAACAACACTCTACGTCTCACAGGTTTTAATGCAGCCTGCCTAACATAGGCCCCAAACACTGTGCTGTTATTCCCACCTACTACAATCTTGGAACACGGTTTTGCACGTGTGTGTGTTTGCGTGTGTGTGTGTGTTTGTATATCCTGCCCATAGCTAAATGCTGAGAGCATTTGACCTTTTGCATGACTCTGCAAACAGCATTTAGGAGACAATTCTACAAACCACCAGCTGAGCCTTTGTACTGTAAATATTCAAGAATAATAAAAATCTCTTTCTCTAACAGCACTCTAGGGACTGATTTCTTAACATGTTCTGAGGAGACGCGCATTTAATTCACTGAATGAATAAGCTTGTTACATCGCAGAAAGCGCAGAAATCTCCCTTTCTTAATTCTTCTTAATGCATCAAGATATTGTGATTAGAAATCTCCCTTTCTTAATGCATCAAGATATTGTGATTATCACGATAACTAACGTGATAATCACAATATTACGTTAATTGATTTTACAACACTATAAATGTGTATAATCACATGGACACTCCTTGTAACTCTTACAGTGTCCTTAGTTTATATATTCTGATTCCAACATAACAAAAAATATATATCAACAAAGTCAAGTAACCACAATTACAAAATAATTAAAACGTAATTAAAAAATCACCACTGCTCGAAAAAACGATAAAACAGAAAATGCTACATATGCTACATAAAGTCAATCACAAAAATACAATTACATTAGTAAATTTATAGCCCATTATTTTTATTTGTATATGTCAGTTTCTATTTATAAAGGACCAGTTGGGAATTGTTGAAATTATTTAAGTCATTAATACTAGATGTTTAAGTTTGTTTTAATATTTGTCTAATTGTATGCGGGCAAAACGTATGTGGTATTTTGGTACGTTTATTTCATGTTTAAGTTAGAATTCACATTACATACACAAATTAGTCATAAATGAAACGGACAACCCACAGCGCTGAAAGCACAAGCCCAACGTTCGCTCGCTAATGGTAGAAAGCTAAAGGAGCTAATGCTAAATGTTCGCTGACTGAGGACATTGTGAACAGACTACTACGGTCCGACAAAAATTAAATTAAATTTAAAAAAATGTTATATGTTTACATACAAACAGTTCAATGCAACGTTAGGTGAATGCCGTGTAACTTGTCACGTTGCACTGAAAGCCGAGCAAGCTAACATATACAGTAATGTCCTACCAATTGAATGCTACGTCAGGTAAACATTAACGTAATTTAGTTTAATAATGTGGTTTTACCTTTACTTTGGGGAACAATGTCGGGTGGTTGTTCACCCGCAGGTGATGATACATGTTGGATGTATTTCCCGCTTTTCACCGCATTTCTTTTATGACGACACCCTGGTTGTTTCTTCTGTATCTTAAATTATCTCACACCGCTAATGTTAATACGCTGTTCGAGGAAATAACTCTATCCACACTCAGGGACCGGAAACAAAGCAACACACGCGTCTTCACGCGGGTGTTGTGTGACTTTGTTTTCCTTCCGTTAGAGTTGGGTTTAATATACTGGAACTTTTGTTCCGGTATATTATTTTCTGGCGGTATAAAGAAGAATTAAATTAATTGTTAAAATAAGAATGATGATTCTGGAAAACCAAATAGTATGTGGTCTACATTAGTTTTTATGTAAGGTGCAGTAACCTACAACCTCACCACCAGATGCCACTAATACATAAACATTTGTGTGTGTGTGTGTATTTAAGGGTGTGAACTGTAATGTTGACTGAAGAAATTAAATTAATTTAAGTCCATTTGCCACGTCCTCATTAAAAACTGTACTATTATTATATAAACCACTCTCACAACCAGAGGATATTATTTGAAATATTCATATTTATTTTAAGGACATTGAGGATGAAAACAGTAATAATAGCAAAGGTGGGAATCGGCCATGATCTTCAAGAAGATCATTCTTTCTGTAAACTGTCAGGACACCATCGTGTTGGCATCGGCTCTGATGGTAAACACCAGATTGTGTTCTAATGTGGAGCCTCGTCCTTGGTTTCAGAGCTCAGACTTGAGGAGCTTCTTGGCCAGCTGCATGTTGCTCATCACTGTGGAAGAGACACGTTTACGATTAATAAATAATACATTTACGCTTAATAAAGGCGACGTTGACAGAGTGCAGATGTGCGTGTGTAGCAGCTCCACTTACAGACTTTGATATCACCGGGCTCATAGGTGTACATGTGGTTGCTGTAGGGCCCGACTAGTTCAGCTCTCACTGTCATTGAAGGGTCTGAGGAGAAAGAGAGAGCAGACACTAGGTGAGGGAGCGTTAACACCATTAACTCCCAATGGTACTAAATTTCCCAAAGGAAACTCCGAGATACTTGTAAATGTTGAGACAATTCTCATGGAGAAAAGTAAAGTCTGTTCTTCACTATGTCCACATATATCACTAACACATTTTCTAGGGGTTTAAAGTCTCTCACCGACAAAGATAATTCTGGGGACATACTCTCCATCAGGGGTGAGATGTTTGTCTGTAGTTTCATGCTGTGGACCAAGATACACAAAAGTAACTGTTAATAAATGTCCTTAACTCACCACCAGGTTGAGGACGACAAAGTCTTCATCAAGTATTTTCTGGATCTCATAGTTTTCAGCAAATTCTTTCTTCAGTGCTGCAGAAAACGTCAAACGTCAAACTTTGAACATTTTTTCCTTTAGTCAAAAAACAACGTCCACTTTATCCATATTATTCCATAGTATATATGTGTAACCTTATCCAGCGTTTCATATTTTTTTAATATATTTTTTTTGTCCGACTTTTTGTCCGAGTCTGACTTACCCTGACTGTGTGGACAATCATCGAGGTGATGAATGACCATCAGAGGCCTGTTCCTAAAGGAAGGCAACCACATTTAGTGAAACAAATCAGCATCAGTGAAGTCTGTGCAGAATGTGAATATATCTGAATTTTTATTTACTTTGATCTGGACCAGTGCAGCGCTTCCTCGTAGGTTTGAGCCCAGATCAGTTGATCGCCCCATCCTGTAAGATAGACGTCGTTCAGCGACCACAGCTTCACCTCCTATCTTAGTATAACGAATACAGTGAATTGTCACAAACCTCTGTGTAGAACTTGAGGGACCCGCTTGCCGGTCTTTGGAATGTATTTCTTATCCGGTGCCTTTCCGAAGGTGGAGGACACGGCCGCCAGGAGCAACATGAGTGGCAAGAGCACTTTGGCCATCATTTTTCAATGCCTAATGAAAGAGAACGGGCGAAAGGAGTTCACTGTCCATGCACTGAAGCAGTAGTATTTTTCAGTCCTATAAATAGTTAGCATTTTTATTCAAGAAATCAAACAAGGCTGTGACTTTACTCATTGCCACCAGGTGGAGATTACGATTAATTACCATTAATTTCTGCAGCTAAGTGTCAAAATCATTAAACATCAGAGACAAAGAAATCTGACGAGAGAAGAGTACAAAATATTACTCTGGTTCTCACCTGTCCAGGCTCCTCAGATCAGGATGTGTACCTGTGCTCTCACCTGAGCAGGATTTAAGTACCTGTTCTTGGGTGGACACACCCCTCCTTTAGCAGCATCCCACACACCCCTTCTGTGCCGGAATGTTTGTTCTTTTAACCCACGCAAATGATTACGTTTGCTTAGCAAAGTGCACCTGGGAAACTGTGTAATTTATTGTTAGTTCTTATTTTATCTGATATATATATTTTTTTTTTCTTTATTAATGAAAGGTCACACCAATTAGGCACATGCATGATGCATTTGCACTTCTTTTATTTTAAATAATCAATATAGTGATATGTGAACTTCATTTACATGAATAGTGGGACTGTTGCATTCAAGTGATCGAGGCTAAACTCGGAAATTTGTATCATTTATTTATTTCCATTTCATTGACCTTTTATGGAACAGCAGTGTGATTAGTTAAAGCTGTCCTAAGATTTAAGGACGAGTCATCACATAAGTGAGAAACGTGATCGGAGACGGGACGATGATTAGTCCTGATGTGATTGGCTCAGACAGAGAGAAAAAACATTTGCAAATTAAACTGTGCCTTACCTACAAAGTCAACACATCATTCAGGTCATGGAGATGAAGGATGATTAATACACATGGTTTACAACTGAATCCAAATGCGGAAAATAATTCAGAATTCTATTCCAGTCGTCATTTTTTTGGACTGACTGTGAGTTTTTCTGAAAGTTAGAATTAGTGTTAGCTGCGGAGTAGTGTTGCAGAGGGGCTCAGTGACCCGGGCTGCCATCAATGGGAGCTTTGTTCAGGTTTAGCCTGCTCTCTGCCTCCTGACTTCTGATTCCAACATAACAAAAAATATATAACAGCAAAGTCAAGTAACCACAAAGTACGAGACAAAAAGGTGAGGAAGAAAAGTTACAATAACTACATTGTAATTAAACAAAAACCACTACTGTTCGATAAAAAAATTCTAAATATATTACTTGAAGTCAATAACAACAAATACAATTACATTAACAGTATTTGTATTTTTTTAGTTCCCATTTATATACCACCAATTATTAATCCCGCAGCGGAATTGTTTAAATTATGTAAGTCATCAATTATGTTTTATACCAGAAGTTTAAGTTTGTTTTTATATTTGTCTAATTTTATGTGGCCAAAACGTATATATTATTTTTGGTATTTTATATTTATTTCATGTTTAAATTACAATTTACATTATATACACAAATTAGTCATAAATGAAACGGACAACCCACAGCGCTGGAAGCACAAGCCCAACGTTCGCTCGCTGATGGGAGAAAGCTAAAAGAGCTAATGCTAAATGTTCACTGACTGAGGACATTGTGAACAGAATACTTAACTGCCGACACCCTGGTCGTTTCTCCTGTTTCCTAAATAATCCCACACCGCTTATTTAATGCGCTGTTCGAGGAAATAACCCTTCTTCTGCCATTTTCTCCACACCCTGCAACTTGCAGGGACCGGAAACAAAGCAACACACGCGTCTACACGCGGGTGTTGTGTGACTTTGTTTTCCTTCCGTTAGAGTTGCGTTTAATTCTAGTTCCGGTATACTATTTTTTTTTTGGCGGTATAAAAAAGAATTAAATAAATTGTTTTAAAAAAAGAAAGGACAGAAATACAAGTTTCTTCTTCTTTCTGAAAACCTTAAATAATTATTAAAATGCAAATGTTTTTCTGTTTTCTGCCACTTGGTTGATTTCACTGCTTGCATATTGTCATATCTTACAGGTTTTTTTTAAATGTTGTGTTTACTCTATATTACAAGATTACTATTTTATGGCGGTGAAAGTGAATACTAGTTTCAAAAATAATGCCGGAAAACCAAATAGTATGTGGTCTACATTAGTTTTTATGTAAGGTGCTGTAACCTACAACCTCACAACCAGATGCCACTAATACATGAACATTTGTGTGTGTGTGTGTGTGTATTTAAGGCTGTGAACTGTAATGTTGACTGAAAAAATTAAATTAATTTAAGTCCATTTGCCACGTCCTCATTAAAAACTGTACTATTATTATATAAACCACTCTCACAACCAGAGGATATTATTTGAAACATTCATATTTATTTTAAGGACATTGAGGATGAAAACAGTAATAATAGCAAAGGTGGGAATCGGCCATGATCTTCAAGAAGATCATTCTTAAACAGTGCTTCGTCTTTTCTGTAAACTGTCAGGACACCATCGTGTTGGCATCGGCTCTGATGGTAAACACCAGATTGTGTCCTAATGTGGAGCCTCGTCCTTGGTTTCAGAGCTCAGACTTGAGGAGCTTCTTGGCCAGCTGCATGTTGCTCATCACTGTGGAAGAGACACGTTTACGATTAATAAATAATACATTTACGCTTAAAAAAAGGCGACGTTGACAGAGTGCAGATGTGCGTGTGTAGCAGCTCCACTTACAGACTTTGATATCACCGGGCTCATAGGTGTACATGCGGTTGCTGTAGGGCCCGACTAGTTCAGCTCTCACTGTCATTGAAGGGTCTGAGGAGAAAGAGAGAGCAGACACTAGGTGAGGGAGCGTTAACACCATTAACTCCCAATGGTACTAAATTTCCCAAAGGAGACTCCGAGATAGAACTCTATCTTATCTTTATCTATCTATTACATAGCTTTTGCTGTTTTTCTAAAATGAGATGTTGCACAAACATTATGGAGACTGACAGAAGCTCAAATAACATCAAATTTCAGAGAGCTTTAGAGGTAACTTAAAAATTTTGAGTGGTCAAAATCCCCATGTTGAGACAATTCTCGTGGAGTAAAGTAAGTAGTAAAGTGTTCTACACTATGTCCACATATATCACTAACACATTTTCTACATAACAGTGTAGGGGTTTGAAGTCTCTTACCGACAAAGAGAATTCTGGGGACATACTGTTTATCAGGGTAGAGATGTTTGTCTGTAGTTTCATGCTGTGGACCAAGATACACAAAAGTGAATAAACATGTTGAAATATATACATCATAAAATTTTTTTTAAAGCTTTTATAAAACATTGTTTGTCCTTAACTCACCACCAGGTTGAGGACGACAAAGTCTTCATCAAGTATTTTCTGGATCTCATAGTTTTCAGCAAATTCTTTCTTCAGTGCTGCAGAAAACGTCAAACGTCAAACTTTGAACATTTTTTCCTTTAGTCAAAAAACAACGTCCACTTCATCCATATTATTCCATAGTATTTATGAGTAACCTTATCCAGCGTTTCATATTTTTTTAATATATTTTTTTTCATCCGACTTTTTGTCCGAGTCTGACTTACCCTGACTGTGTGGACAATCATCGAGGTGATGAATGACCATCAGAGGCCTGTTCCTAAAGGAAGGGAACCACATTTAGTGAAACAAATCAGCATCAGTGAAGTCTGTGCAGAATGTGAATATATCTGAATTTTTATTTACTTTGATCTGGACCAGTGCAGTGCTTCCTCGTAGGTTTGAGCCCAGATCAGTTGATCGCCCCATCCTGTAAGATAGACGTCGTTTTGAGGGACTCGCTTGCCGGTCTTTGGAATGTATTTCTTATCCGGTGCCTTTCCGAAGGTGGAGGACACGGCCGCAAGGAGCAACATGAGTGGCAAGAGCACTTTGGCCATCATTTTTCAATGCCTAATGAAAGAGAACGGGCGAAAGGAGTTCACTGTCTGAAGCAGTATCACATTTTTCAGTCCTATAAATAGTTAGCATTTTTATTCAAGAAATCAAACCAGGCTGTGACTTTACTCAATGCCTCCAGGTGGAGATTACGATTCAAAATGTCAAATCATTAAACGTCAGAGACAAAGAAATCTGACGAGAGAAGAGTACAAAATATTACTCTGGTTCTCACCTGTCCAGGCTCCTCAGATCAGGATGTGTACCTGTGCTCTCACCTGAGCAGGATTTAAGTCCCTGCTCTTGGGTGGACATCCTCCCCCCCCCTTATCAGCATCCCACACACCCCTTCTGTGCCGGAATGTTTATTCTTTTAACCCACTCAAATGATTACGTTTGCTTAGCAAAGGGCACCTGGGAAACTGTGCAATTTATTGTTAGTAGTAATAATCAATATAGTGATGTGCAAACTTCATTTACATGAACAGTGGGACTGTTGCATTTAAGTGATTTCATTGACCTTTTATGGAACAGCAGTGTGATTAGTTAAAGCTGTCCTAAGATTTAAGGACGAGTCATCATATAAGTGAGAAACGTGATCGGAGACGGGACGATGATTAGTCCTGATGTGATTGGCTCAGACAGAGAAAAAAAAAATCCAGATTAAACTGTGCCTTACCTACAAAGTCAACACATCATTCAGGTCATAGAGATACACCTGGTTTACAACTGTATCCAAATGCGGAAAAGAATTCAGAATTCTATTCTATTCCTAAGTTTCGTGGACTGAGTTTTTCCGAAAGTTAGAATTAGTGTTAGCTGCGGAGTAGTGTTGCAGAGGGGCTCAGTGACCCGGGCTGCCATCAATGGGAGCTTTGTTCAGGTTTAGCCTGCTCTCTGCCTCCTGACAACCAATCTTCCTCACAGTGAATGAAACACCCAAACCAGACTCGCCCTCAACGGCTCTTTGTGTAGATCACCTGTTCTTACTGCACAAAAATCATCCATTTATCCTTACTTATTTCTTCAGTAGAGAAAAGATAGATAGATAGATGGATAGATAGCTAGGTGTTTTAATTTTTTTTTTAATTAAATAGTTTTGCATATTTTTGTTCTTGTTGTCAATGTCAATTAAACACAAAAGCGCTCTCATGTCCCTGGCTATAAATGTTGTGACTGTAGTAAATATTTAAAATAAAAAAGATATATATTATATGATATATATTGTATATATATATACATATATGCATATATACTGTATATATATATATTTGTAGAAATAGAGAGTCGCATATAGAGACCCTTGTTCTGCTGCGTACTCCAACACTGGCTGTTTCCTATTTGCACTGCAGAGCTGTTTGCTCCTGTCATTTTCTTTGTTGCTAAATGTACACACTTGTTTGTGGTGCTGCGTGTGCGTCGAGATGTGTTCCTGCAACCAGGATGTGGACTGCAGTTTAACTGCTGAGGTGTCCTTAGTCCCTACTACTGTCCTTACTCCCTGTGTCTCCGTCACGGTGTTGTCACAGCACCAGGGTCAATATTGAAACTTAAGGGCAGGGTTCAAGGCCGCTCCTATTAACACTTTCGCATTCACCAGCTGCACTCAGCCCCGCCCTGTTAACACGGATCTGACGCTCACTCTCCCTCCCTTTCCCTCTGCACATACAGGTTACACACAGTTATCCCATACAACCCCGACCCACACACACCAACCTCACACTATTGTCGGGTATCTCGTCGAATAGGACGTAGCTTCCTGCTGTGCAGTTAGAACTTTTTCAACAGTCCTTACTGAACAAACACTTTCACCGTCTGAACAGGATTGAAGGAGACCTTTATTTACTGCACTGGGAGTAGTTTATTGACATCCTTAATGGCACTCGATCGTGGCAAATTCAATTTTTTTTTCACCCAAGGACATTTGGGATCAGCTAAGAATTGCCATAACCTTTATTTAAATAATACTCAATTTGAAAAAAAAATGGAATGTAGTAAAACACACAAAACTGCTTGGTGGGCCGCATTTGGTCCCTGCGCCTTGAGTTTGACACGTGATATAGCATATCAGGCAAAGGGATAAAGAAAATACTCAATTTTACTGACCAATAGCATTACATTAGTTAAAATTAACATGTTTTTTTAACCTATACAGTTCATTTAGCATGTTTTCCTAATTAAGCTTTTGGAAAATGAGGTCAATTAGATTTCTATATTTTTAATCCTCGGGGAACTGTAGCTAAGACTAGTAGTCATCAGTTAAGGGCTAGGTATAGTACACAAACTTAACTTAACAACTTAACAAAGGACTTAAACGAAACTGTATTGTGTTCACAAAACAAACTAAAACATATTGAAATTATCGATAAGAAACATTTTTGTTTGTATTTGTAAACATTTGGAATGACGGGAAAATCCATTGACTTCGCTGTACGGTACACGACTGACGTTGCGTCTCTTCTCGTCACTTCAATTACAGTCAGTATTTACCCATTACGTTGCCTGGGAAAATGGCGGCAACGGCGTGTTTTCAAGATCAACAAATTGCTGCTTGACGTAAGTACACACTTCATTGACAAGAACTCCAGTTCTTTGTTTATTTTGTTCGTGTTAGTAATTTTGTTGAAAGACGTCATCATATTTAGATTCCTGACAGTCAGTAAACGCGACGCGTGACTCATTAATGGGTTTATATTAATTTGTTCATGTGTCTTCAGCCCATTGGTTGTTTGAATTGTACTGGGTACATTACTAGTATTTAACCTCAGTCGCAGGATTAAATAGGTTTTGCACTCAAGGATGCCATCTTGTGGACTGTTACGGTAAGGGTTTAGAAAGTGTTTTTTTCTACAGTACTTCAAACAGGCTATACTCTGATCTTCTCACTTATCACCTCAGAATACAGCTATAAAAGCAATATGTTTGAAGAGGTCAAATGTATATATAATGCTAATATTAATATTATGCATACATATATGTAATATATTGTTTTAGCTAATGTTTGAAGAGGCCAATATAATATAATGCTAATATTAATATTATGAATACATATATGTAATATATTGTTTTAGCATGTATTAAATCAAAGCACACGCTTTATAGTTTGGCATTTATTCAGTAATCTGTGTACAAAATTCTTAAACTGAAAATATGGATTAAAAAAAATACACAGGGTTGAGAGGGAGCAACAACAACAACAACAACAACAACAACAAAAAACAAAAAAACAAAAAAAACCAACCCAACATTCGAGCAGTCCCACAAGAGACGCAATAGTCATTGTTTTCACAGAAAACATTCAAAATGGCTGACCTCACTAACTGGACTCTTAACACTGAGAATAAAAAGCCTTTGAGGGTTCAGGAGGGAGCGCAGAAGTTATAGGCAGCAGCAGCAGCTGCAGCATCTCATGATTGTTGCATCACATACACACCGATGAAGCTGATTGGTTAGACCACAGCCATGCTGAATCAGAGCACATGTATGTGGAAGCTTGGGATCACTTGTACACAATCAATACCAGCAACTGTAGTAATACACCCATCAGTATACATGCTCAGTATTTCCAGTCCTTGTTTCAAATGAACGTAACAGTGGCTGAATTCAATTGGCCCGTATCCTTATAAAGTGCTTGTGTCACTTTTTGCCGTAGAATTAAAAGTTTTGACGAAAACCTTTTGGACTTCTTTGCGCAGACATGACGGCTTATGGAAGTGAGCCGGAAAAACATACGAAAGCGGACGAAAACAACAACGCATCGTGGTACACGGTGCAAACGCCACGACGAGAAGGGACTTTAACTGTGCAGAACACTTCTGTTTGGTCGAACATGTAAAACTGTGCGGAAAGTGACGAAACACAAGGCAGTTACAGCAGTGTGGAGGCCAAGTAAAAATAATCACAAATTAAAAAAAAAAAAGAAAAAGAAATGTCATGATTAGTGATCAATTCTAAGCTTACTGCTCCGCTGTGATTTCCTTTCTTGGATAAAGGAAAGTTTACTCTGAGATTTTGAAGTCACATGATAAATTGCAGCGAAAACAGTTGTTCATTATTGACTGTACAGCCGTATAAATGTCCTGTAGTGGTTTGATCACAGAAAGGCCCCCCCGGAGGTCATAACAGTGGAAAGACTTGATCCCTTGGCAGCAGGGTCATCGTAGGGTCAATGCTGCGGGTGCTGGTTGTGTTGGTTGTTGGCTGGGTGGTTGGGTGGCAGCGGTGGTCCATTTACGCCAGGATGGTAGAAAGCGCAGTTGTTCTCGTACCTGCAGCTTCCCTTCATCATGAAGTGACGACACACGGGTCTCTTGGACATGTCTGAGAGGAGGAGACAATGGCGTTACGATCACAGCACACAAGTAGAGCCAGTATTAAAAAAACGACGATGTAACGATACACATAACTCACAATGTGATACGACCCACGTTCTGTTTGAACACCTGAATTTCACTTGGGCTAGAGTCCTGACATTTTGGTTTAACCAATGTTTTTAGGCGCCACCTTCTGTACTAGAGTGCGTAGTGTCAGGGTATGACCAGTGACTTTTTGAGCCTATTCCTAAAGCCTTGATGCATGATTAATTTTTTAGTTTAATCGATGCAAATTGTCACGCATTTGAATCTATCTTTAACCGACTCAATGCATCGTAAATGCTTCAATGATAACAAGCCTCCAGTCACTAGGTGGCAGCAACTCGTAAAGTGGTTTGTACTGATAAAGAATATACACATTATCAGGTTCTCAATTGATTTCAATTCGCACAGGGGAGGGGGCAATGCAGTTCTGAGACCCACTCACCGTTCATATTGTTGTGTCCTCCTCTTGGTCCTCCTCTACCTCGGCCCCTGAAGCCCGGCTCAACTCCTCCACCTCTTCCCCGGCCTCGGTGGAAGTGACCTCCTCGGTGGGGCCCTCCCCTCATCGAGTCGTCCCCCCAGTAGTTCCCGTTGTCTCCGCGTCCTTGGCCTGGCGGCGGAGGCGGCCCCATCATGCGAGGGCCTCCGCCTGGATTGAAGGGCGGGGGGTGGTTGTGGTTGGGCGGGGGGTGGTTGAAGCGTGGACCGCCAGGTGGGTTGTTGGGTGGAAAGCCACCATTCATGGGCATCTGCATGTGCATGTTCATATTGTTCATGTTGTTCATGTTATTCATGCCGGGGCCGTGGCCGAGCAAACCCGGGTTGACTGAGGAGAAAAAGGAAAAAAAAAATGGAAAATTGCGTTAAAATGTGAGAACTAGAAACAAGAGGTTCGGGGTGTGGTTTTGGTGGCTTAGGTTACCTGGTGGAGGTCCTCCCTGGTTCTGGTTCTGGTTCTGCTGTAGGGAGCCCAGGAGCTGTTTAATCTTGTCGGAGAAGTCAGGCTGCTTGATCAAGTCTTCGGTCGACTGGTTACCAGAAGCACCCTGATTATGGAGAGAAAATTAGAAACCGTACGTCTTAACAAACCATGTATGGACAAATAAAGCTCGAAGAGCTTTCATCGCTGTTATATCTTATATTTACCATGATGGACTGAAGCAGCTCCTGCACATTGACAGAGGGAGGTATGGGGTTGTTGGTGTTGTTTGTGGCTTGTGGGCTACGGGAATTGCTGTTCATGTTGCCCATAAGGTTTGCCAGGACCGGCGGCAGCTTGGCGTTCTCACTCTGTCCCGCGGCACAGACCTGCTGCGGCGTGGTGTCCATGGGCTCCGCGTAGCCTTCCTCCTGCATGGACGAGTCCTGTAGAAGGGACAAACAGGTGTAAGGGAACATGTAAAAAAAAATAAATCATGAGAATGTATGCATTTGTGTGTTTGGGTGTGCGTGTTACTAACCTCATCCAGGGGAATCAGACGAGGCGGCATGGGTTCGTAGGGCTCTGGGTCAGGTTCATGCGGCGTGTCGGGAACACTAAATCAATAACGCAAGAAAGAAAGAAAAAAAAACAATCACTTCCTGCCCTCATCTGTTCTCCGAGAACTATGGCGAACTACCACACGGTTTTTCTACGGTCCTACCTCTCCTTGTTGAGGAAGATCTCCTGAAGAATACCCATCTCCCGATCCCTCTGGGTGAACTTTTCTGTGCTGTTGGACCCCGGGATGACCAGGCTCCCGGTCAGCGTCAGAGGCCGAGGGGGCGTCCACGGAACCCTCTCTTCCATCGTGTCGTGGGAGAGACGACGGGCCATCTCGAACGTCTGCCTGTCCATCATTAGCTCTCGTTTCGCAGCCTCGCCAAAGTCTTTGATCTTGTTGACATTCACTGTTAAAAGTTTAAATCATTGAATCAATTCATCTTTCATCACAGCCAACTCAATCACGCAATCATCTGTTATAACCCTAGTGCTGTACCTCTCTCTGTCTCATCCAGATCAAAGTAGAAGTAATGTTTGAGATGTTCTTCCTCGGCCCAGTGAACCGTCTTCTTCTTTTTCCCCCTTTTGGTCAAACTTTCTTCGTCGCCACGCGGTTCTGCCAAAGCGTTAGGTTTCTCATCTATGAGACAAAAGATTTGAATTTAAGATCGAGGAACAAAAAAAAAAAAAAAAAGTACAGTATAACAGAGTAATTCCAAGAAGTGGATCTCACTATTGTCAGATGCCTCAGGGTCATCAGCGGGAACTGGAGTGCCAGGCTGCTCTGGCTCATTGTTTTCATCCACTTGCATGGAAGAAACACCTGCGTCTGGAGATGAAGGTTTTGCACCGGACGAAGGTTTGCCGTCGAACGATATCACCTGAGGACGAGAAATTCTCTTAAAAGGTGTTTTTTCGTGCCAAATAAAGGTTAAAAAAAAATACACATATAGCAACAAACATAGCAACAGAAAGTGAGTGTATTCAGTACCTTGTTAGTCGTAGGTGAGACAGCCTTGCTGACTGGCGAAGTCGCACTGAGTTTCTTCTTCTTAATCTTGATCCCTGGCACCGGGGCAGAGTTCAGAGCATCCAGGAATCCAGTGGCCTCCATCGCTGCCGTGACAACCCCAACAAAAAAAAAAACTAGAAATTAGAGCTGCTATTTTAGAACAAGCTCACTGTAATTTATATACATCGCCCTCTTGTGAGGGCTCGTACTCACGTTGTGCTGGAATGATCTTGACCTTGATCTCTTTGGCAGAGTTGGACGGCATATTAAGAGGTTTGTATTTTTTCTCAAGTGGAGGAGCATCTGAGGGACTGGAACTGTTTATGAAAAAAAATTAAATGTTAATCTCCATAAAGTCAATATCATTTATTTATACTATTATTAAACTTCTGCCTTTTCCCTGCAATACCCACGTTTCGCCAACAGATGGCGTTGAAACTAATAAAAGCATTTTAGCCTTTATGCATGTCATTTATCTTAGTTCACATGAACACTCCATCTATCTGCTCCTGACCCAACCCCCCTGTCAAATTTTAGGACAATTGTGGCCCGCTAGTCAAAAGGTTTGCCCACGCCTGGTGTAGTCTAATCAATCAATTTTATAGATGTGATATGGTGCAGCTGGTACCTCTGCCTCTTTAGGACTGGTGGTTTGATGTTGTACTTGTCCCCCAACGGCGGTGCAACGGGTGTCTTCTTAGCAGGTGCGGGATTTGTCGTCTCCATTTCTAACCCTGCACGACACAAAGATGGATTAGTACACAATGAAGAGTGGACAACTAAAGGCCAATGATATTCACTGCGCATCACAACAACTTTACCAATGGAGCGAATCTTTGTGTGACTGGGCGCATGCGCTTTAGGCTTATCCTTCTTCTTGTCTTCATCTGGAGTTTTTTCTTTAATGTCACGCAACGGCACCTTGCTCTCCTCTTTCTTCTTTTTCTTATCTGGCAGATGAAAGCAAAGAGTATTACAGACTGTTGCTAGAAAAAAACACAGATGAAAGCAGAGAGTATTACAAACTGTTGCTAGAAAAAAACATTCAATTGGCACCCAAATGTGAAAAAAGATGTTACCAGCAGGGGAGCTGCCACTCGCTGAGACACTCTGGGAGCGAATTATGGCCATCCATCCATCTACTAGAACAGAGGCTAATTTTCTAAGCTCTAAGAAAAAGAAAAAAAAGACAGTAATACAAATTAGTTACTGTTTACTTTGCCTGAAAAATCATTGTTGTTGTTGTTGTTGTTGTTCACATGGGAACTGACCTTCCGTGTCTGCGCTCTTGGTCAGCTGCTTCACCAACTTTGCGGTGTTGTTCTGGGATGACAGATGAGAGAAGGTATTTAGATAAGTGGCTGTAAAATGCCAGATAAACTTTCCGGTTTAAAAAAATAAATCAATATGTACAATACCTGTTTGAGGTGGTCCACTTTGAGGGGCAGCTTCTGCAGCGTAAGCAGGATGAGCTGAAGCAGAGGTGTATTGTTGGTAGTTTTGGAGTAAGTGAGCCAGGAATTCAACAGCCGATATCCTCCAACTCTGATAAACCTGTGGCAAAAGGGAAACAAGCAATTTTGGAATGAATAAGATCTGTGTCCTGTAAGACCCATTTGCTATTGAAAATAGCAAGAGTCATCACAAAAAGTGCAACAATGACTCACTCTTCCACTTTTTGTATCAAAATTAAGGGCTGCACAAAAAGCAAAGTGGACATAACCGCCTAATACAAAATAATCAGAAAAATAAAACGAGGCCAAATATCAGGTCATTGATAAAAACAAAAACATTTTTACCTGTTAAGTATATCGTGCGATTTTGTCTGGAGCAAGACGTTCAGGTACATGCATCTGCCAACCATCTTTGTGGATGCTTTCATGAGGCTGCATTGGAGAAGAAAAATAAAATACACATGTGAGCAAATCAAATGTGACACGTAAAATAACTACACAAAGAGTAAAAAAAAATCTTTTTTTTTCTCACCTAAACACTTTTGGAACTCCTTCCAGGCTGCGAAGT